CCTTAGGAATACTGAGATGCAGAAATCATGCTTCAGTGATTCCTTTAAAATCTCTAGGTTATATTCAGTCAAGATTTGCAAAACACATTATGGTAAATATTAAGTTTTGTAGTATCAAAGAATCCAATATATTTACCATGGTTAATTTATATATGAGGTATTGCAGTTGATAAAGTGTTGGATGCAAATTTAAGTGTTCATTTAAAGGGATCAGAGAATTTATTCTGCAATCACAAAAGAGAGAAGTTTTGGGTTTCCAAAAATTTGATGCAAGTTATTAACCCCCAGAGGGTTAATAACTCAGGATAACCCGTGAAAGCAAAGCAATGTGGCTTATTTCTACTGAGGTCCTCAGATCCTCTTTCCTAGGATGCAACCAACAAGAGCTAACTAACTCCTAGGTATCTATTTACTTCTAGGTAAATAGGGCAGCAGGTGCAAGGAGACTTGTCCACATGTCATGGCGTGCCATTATTCAGTAGCAAGCCAAATGCTCTGCCACTGAGCTATGAGACACATAACTCATAACATAATTACATAACATAATTACCACAAGCAGCTTAGGATGACAACAACTGGCAATAATCAACACTTGATTTTGAACTTGAAATATGTAACAATAAAAGTGATCACTGAAACACACTAGACACTGGCCTCATGCATCAAACATAATATTCCATTAAGTCAGCACTTGCTTTTGGTATTTACACAGTAGGTGCCACCAAAAGAAAGCAATGTTATGTCACTTTATTGAAATTTTTCACCATGATTTAAATAACCATTACTTTGTGGGAAAAAAAAAACAGTGAAAGAGTAATCAATAGTTTTAAGTAAAATAATTATAGGGAATTTTGTACATAAACAGAATTAACAAATGACAGAATGCAAAAAATGAGCATTGATACCACAGTCTTTGACATTGCTACTGGTGGCCCCTTCCCACATGGATCCTGGGATCAATGGTGATTCAAAGAATGTATTCACAGTTACGAAAAAAAAATTACAGTGGACCCCCGGTTAACGATATTTTTTCACTCCAGAAGTATGTTCAGGTGCCAGTACTGACTGAATTTGTTCCCATAAGGAATATTGTGAAGTAGATTAGTCCATTTCAGACCCCCAAACATACACGTACAAATGCACTTACATAAATACACTTACATAATTGGTCGCATTCGGAGGTGATCGTTATGCGGGGGTCCACTGTACAGTGGACCCACGGTTAACGATATTTTTTCAATCCAGAAGTATGTTCAGGTGCCAGTACTGACCGAATTTGTTCCCATAAGGAATATTGTGAAGTAGATTAGTCCATTTCAGACCCCCAAACATACACGTACAAACGCACTTACATAAATACACTTACATAATTGGTCGCATTCGGAGGTGATCGTTATGCAGGGGTCCACTGTATATACGTAACGTGGTCTATGCATATAACAGACCCAACACTAACCAGTCATCCACAGAACTTACAATAGGATAATTTCAGAACTAGCACTTCTATTACCTTGCTGTATAAGCAGAAGCAACTGTGACCCTACTATCTCATCCCACAGTCCCAGAAGCTTTCTTTATGCATCTATCCTCCCATCCCTCAAAGTCATATAGTTCATAAACCCAAGATAAACTGTCTTATCTTTAATGGACACATTATAAGAACAAGAGTAATTAAGAAATCAGAAGGATACTTACACGAATGTGTATACACAGCAGCTGTGACTTGACCCTTGCAACCAGAAATAGGCAAGTACATAGATGTGTGTGTACAATGTACTGAGTGTTAGTAGTGTTGTAGCAGCAAGAAGTACCTGTCATCTTATGTGTTTATGAGAGAGAAAGAAAAGACACCAGCAATCATAGATGAGAATAAAATGATTAACAGCTTTTCGCCTCACATTTATTTGGCAGGACAATAGTACCTCCTTGGGTGGCTTCTGTCTACAAACCTAATTCCTCAGATGAGCTCCGAGTAAAAACTTGCATTGGACCATAGCTGGTGACAGTGTCAATCTTCCAAAATTCAAGGATGTGGCATGTTTTGGATCTCACGACTGCAGATCTCAAAGTAGAGTGGTCAGTGTTATTGGCTGCCATTTTGCCACCCAGGCAGGGTGACTCATCCTCTATTTCCTTATTTTTTAGAAGTGCAGAGACATTACAATTTGAATGATTCTCCAAGCTGCAACATCCCTACCTATCATTCAGAGTGCAGATGCTGTACTCCCCACTTCCAGAACTGAAGCCTTCCTAACTGATTTCCCCCAAATTCCTTCATAAATATTATCTCAATCACAATGTAGCAGCAGCACATAAAATCCCAAAATTCATTTGAGTATTTCAATCAAATACTCAGAAATGGATACTGGATACTCAAATCCATCCTACTTAAAACATTTACACCCTCCTCCCAATCCTTCACATACTGCCAGATTTACATCTTCTAGGCTCCATCACTTCTAAGTGAAGAAATCATCTTGAGAACCCCACTCCTGCTCTGTGAATTAAACCTTTTGTATCACAACATTGTCTTCTAATTCCTTCACTCCTTTTTTTTTGTGTGTAATACTCACAAGGCAAACTGTTCTTAAATACTACATTTGTACTGCCTTCAACCTCCTCACTGTGCATGTGACAACAGTAAGCTCTCTTATAAAACCCCTCTATATAGTGTTTTATGCAAAATACCCACTCTGAAAAAAAGTGAATTTCCAAGCGCTTTTGTGATTTCTCACATTAACAGGACAGCAGAAGATGTATAAAGATGAGATATCACCTCACAAATGACCTCACACATGACTAGTCATGTGTGAGGTCATCACATATGCACTACATATGCACACATGAGGTCATATGTGGTGTATAAGCCATTACTATAACCCACTTCTCACATCCGACTTTTATTCGAATCCACATCATTCTTGAATTTACACACTCCTTTCTTTCCATAGTTTATCACTTAATATTACTGTTATTTCTTTAGCTCTTTCTCACATACATCTGATCTGATCCCATTACTACTGCTCACTGAAAGTCTTCTACTCCTTATAGCTTTGCTTTACATAGTTCTAGGACATCCAGCTTCTCATTCATAACACTAAGAATCCATTACTTCTTATCATCTGTACAAAACTCAAGCACATTTAAACAATCAATTTTCAAAATTTCTTTCATTGCCTTGGTTTGTGGAGGTGGAATTCTAACCCACTACCCCATGGGGCAGTAGGCATATACGTATACACTATAAGATTTTTTTTTTCAACAAACTGGCCGTATCCCACAAAGGCAGGGTGACCTAAAAAGAAAAACGAAAGTTTGTTCTTTTTAAATTTAGTAATTTATACAGGAGAAGGGAACTAACTTTAAGATATATGTCTTATATTAAAGTAGATCTTTGCATTTGAAAGACAACATCAGATTTCTCACATCTATCATTATAAAAATGACCTTGCATTTTGTTACAGAATATATTACAAATACAACATGCATCTGTAGTGTTGGCTAGTCCTCAACTGAAATATTATTCTGATAACTGTATGTATGTATGTATCCGCCATACGAAGCATTTGAATGCAAAAATTTTGCCTCGCCTATTGATAAAAAACTCGCCTTACGCGATTCGTCCGGGACACATCCCACGTGTGGCCTCAGCGCCAGTGTTTACAAGCCAGCCAGTGTGGTTGCATCTATGCATACATTTGGTACATTTCACATTATCCAAGTGTTTTTAGTGCTTGTAACTGCAAAATAAGCCACCATGGACCCCAAGAAAGCTTCTAGTGCCATCCCTGTGGTAAAAAGGGCGAGAATTAGTATGGAATTGAAAAAAAGAGATTAAGGAAATATGTGCAAAGTGGGTTGAACTGCAAACCTTTGCATATGAAAATCACCCTGACACAGCTACTGCAAGCCGTGTTGGCAACCTGTACAATGACAATGTTATGGCCCATTTTAGGAGTCTTAAAGGAACGGGGGTACAGAGCTCTATGGACAGATTTGTTGTGCGACAGAGGTCCAGTGACTCTCAAGCTGGACTTAGTGGCATTAAAAGAAGAAGGGAATTAACCCCAGAAAAGGACTTGCTACTTCAAGTCCTAATGGAAGGGGATTCCCCTTCTAAACAATAACTTCCACACACTCTCCTCCTCCCATCCCATCAATCATCACCAGATCTTCAATAAAGGTAAATGTCATGTATTCTATTCTTAGTAGAGTAGTAATTGTGCATGTCTTCTTCAGTTTGTGTGTATTAAAATTAATATTTCATGTGGCAAAAAAAATTTGTTTTTTTCATACTTTGGGGCGTCAGGAACGGATTAATTTGATTTCCATTATTTCTTATGGGGAAAATTAATTCGACTAACAATAATTTTGGCTTACGATGAGCTCTCAGAAACGGATACACCGGCCGTATCCCACCCAGGTGGGGTGGCCCAAAAGGAAAAACGAAAGTTTCTCCTTTCAAATTTAGTAATATATACAGGAGAAGGGGTTACCAGCCCCTTGCTCCCGGCATTTCAGTCGCCTCTTACGACACGCATGGCTTACGGAGGAAGAATTCTGTTCCACTTCCCCATGGAGAACATATATACATATATATATATATATACATATATATATATACACACATATATACATATATACATATATACATACATACATATATACATACAGGTTTTCTATCAAAAAAGTACAGAAAGTTTTGTTTATCATCATGCAGGTTAGGTAATTTTATTGATGAAAAACCTGAGCAAATGGTGAAAAATTGCAATCTTGTGTCCTGCATTTTATTTCGTACTCTCATGCACTTAAGATGAATATATTACCTTTAACTGCACTGCACAGACAAATAAATGTGTATCACATAGGCTTCTCTTGGTAGTGCTGCAAATGGACTGATTAGTAAAGGATAGCTATATGAAAAGCTCCAATGTGGAGCTTTTCTGCTCAGGAGTTCTGCTTGGCAAGTCGTACAATGTGAGAATGAGTGTTCAACTCACCTTTGTTGCACAGACGAAACAAGTTGTCACCACCTTTGATATGACATTCATTAGGTTTTTGGTTTCCTGTATAACATTATCCACTTTAGTGAAGGTTGCAGCCTTTCCAACTGTAGGGTTTTTAACGGTGAATTGTAACTGTTGAACATAAGTTGGAATTTGGTCCAAGTGCTCCATCAACTCCTTTTTGTGTGGACCTGCTGGAACCTGTAAATATTAAATATTATATGATGAACATGATAATTTTATAAACGCTTGCATACAGCACTAACCTTACCTCAAAACAACTCAATGTACAAGTCTTATTTTCATAGCTTAAGTCTTGTATTACTATGATGTGTTTTTTTAAATAAACAGTATTATTATTAAACTAAAAAAAATTAAGCATAAAAGAGCAGAGTTCACTATGAATAAAATACACAGCTTATTAAATTCATAAAAAAATGAATTGTTTACCTGATATGAAAACTGTCTAACAACTTTGTACAATCTGTTTGCTTCTTCTGCAAAGTATTCTCCCTGTGTGAAGAGATCCTGGGTAGTCTTGAGAGCTCCTTCACCCCGTGTGAACTGATACATTGAAAAAGCCATCGAGGACATATTTTTGGCCCGTTTTACTATGTCATTGTCCTCATCTTGGGTGATGCGTTCTTCCCACTTTTCAGTCTCTTGTTCTACCTAACAAGGAGTGATAATTAGGGAAAGTTTTGTAAGAAATATATGTAAAGAGAAAACAATGCTTTAATTTCAGTTAAAGAAAATAAACACTATTGCAAAATGACTAATTTTAACATTATATTAAACGTCCGATAAAAAGCACCCCCCATAAAGTAGATATTGGCTACAACAGACAAAAAATCTGGCTGGACAAAGGATCAACATGTAGGATGAATGGTTTGTCCAATTAAAATAGCCATGAAGCAGATTTCATCCACTATATTGAACAGTTTGTCGGTCCAGTCATACACTCAGTAAAAATGGACCAACTCTACTTAATTGAAAGGTTGTACTGTCCAGGCTTGTCCAGGACCTGTCCATTATTGCAAGATTGTACTGTCCAGTCTTTGTCCAGGACCTGTCCATTTTCAATGTGGTGGTAAAGACAAGCCTCTTGTGTCCAACTGGAAATTATGTTGCCAAAGACAAAATGACTCTTTACAAGAAGCACAGGACAAGACAGGGCAGGTAGGACAAGGAAGAGCAAGTAGACAGGCAGGCAGGTACGCAGCCAATAGACTGGTAAAAAATTTTTGACTTAATGTTTACTCTTGCTACAGTCTCCTGCCACCTGCAAATGGTACACATAGTGTGTGTTACAAAGGTCTAGTACACAGTCTCCCTCCCATCTCTGCCTACCTTTTACCTTTCCACCTCCCTCCCTGGCACCCACTGCCTCCCTCCCACGCACTTTCAACACCCTCCATTTAAGACAGCCAGGTAGGAAGATCACAAGAGACAGGGCAAGGAAGCATAGGCAGGCAGGTGGTTTTGATATTACAGTCTATGTTGATGGATCACAAGAGACAGGGCAAGGAAGCACAGGCAGGTAGACGTTTTTCCTATTATAGTCTATGTTGATGGCAGTCTTAATGACTGTCCTGCAGTCAAATATGCATAAACCTGTACTTTACAGTACATAAATTAAGAAATTGAAACTCACCCTGTGGCAACCTTTCCTATGTACACACAGGCATGTGTGTACACACAGGCATGTGTGTACACACATGCGGAGAGAGAGAGAGAGAGAGAGAGAGAGAGAGAGAGAGAGAGAGAGAGAGAGAGAGACAGAGAGAGACAGAGAGAGACAGAGAGAGACAGACAGAGAGAGACAGAGAGAGACAGAGACAGACTGAGACAGACAGAGAGACAGAGAGAGCTGATGTAGGTAACAGCTCTTAGCTTGCCAATAAAGTTAGGAATCCTTAACCTGTAAATAGCTTGTCAATAAAGCTAGGGATCCTTAACCTTGTCAAACCCTGTGTAAAAAAAAAAAAAAAGAGAGAGAGAGAGAGAGAGAGAGAGCACCAAAGCATACTTGCATTACTATTTTCTGTGCATGTACGGTCGTGTCATCAATACAGCGGACTAAGGCCGTTTTACTGGGAATTTGTCCATGTCCAATAGTCAATCAATTAAGTGGACAACATCCCCTAACCAATACTTTCAATATAACAGATTTTTAGCTATAGAAGAAATCCCTTCCTCTCCCCCCCCCCATTAATTAGTTTTATCTAAAGTTTATTGTTGGCAAAAGCCAATAAGTGGAAATGAAGACACTATGTAGAAGAGAATCATTCACTACAACATTTCCCCCCCAAGGCCAGACGTGAGTGAAATGCTGTATTAAAGAATTCTCTGCCACCAGCATCTATTTTTAAAAAGCATTAAAAGTTTAAGCTTACTTCTGATGATATGAGTTTCATATCCAAGCCAGACTTTGCTAATTTGGCCTGCTCCTCTTGGTCCAGCTTCGTGGGTTTGGGCGGCTTACTTGTAGTTCCATGTTTCTGAGGGGAAGTCAGATAACCAGTTTCAACCTGTTGAACCTGTTGTTAATGTTTGTGTTAGTATGTTACTAAGACTTTATGCAATGCAGGATTCTAATCTTTTAGGGGAATTAGACATGCAACAATTATTAGTGATCACAATACACACATTAAGTCCTGTATGAAGGGAAAACTAAAGCCACAAACATAGGTACAATTAAATAAAAAGAATAACCACAGAAACAAAAATATGCTCACAGAGTAAGGTAATAGTTAGACAAGCTAGAGAAGTTTCAAAACCACAGTAGGTATATATTTATGGATAAAAGATATGAATTTAATAGTGCTGTTATTTGAAGCATTTCTGCTGATTAGAGGACTCACAGATCATTATTATTTTATTTATGGGGGACCACTAAAACCCTTAGAGGTCATATAGCACCTGTGGAATGGGAGGGTATGGTCTGAGAGTAGCCCCATTTCCTTGAACCCTAATCCCTTCAACATCAAGGAAACTCCCATGAAAGGAGAGCAAACATGGAAATACACTAAATCTGTAGTATACCTTCAACAAGTTTAACTGCAGTGCCAAAAAATTGTTTGCCATATTATTTTAACACAATGACTGTTCCTCACCAAGGTAGGGTGACCCAAAACAGAAGGAAAGCTTCCACTGTCATTCATTCAATAGCTGTTATGCCAGAAGAGCGATGACACAGTCTAGCTGACCCTCTGAACTGCAACATCCCCACCCCTCCTTCAGAGTGGAGGCACTGTACCTCCCACCTTTAGGGCTAAAGTTTTCAATAAATTTACATATACTATGAAGTCTTTTGTGTAGAGAATTATGTTTTAAGACCAAGAAAATGTGATAAAGGCAACAGAGAGGCACGGGTCACTGAGATGACATGAACAATTCTGCTAAGAATTAGCAATTTCAATCTGAAAAAAAACAGATTGGGAAGAGACCCTCAAATGAAAGGAGAAATGAAAAGCAAGGTTAATAGATATCATAACAAAGAATATCTTCATATGTTAAAAGAGGCAATAATGAGAATGAGACAGAAATAAGCCAACCAGACAAAACCTAAAATTCACACATAATAATAATAATAATAATAATAATAATAATAATAATAATAATAATAATAATAATATCTTTATTTCTACAAGTACACGTACAAGGTATACAGGCCTAGCTGACATCAATGACATACTTCTACATAGAAAGCCACTTGTTGTGGAGAGCATTTCAGACAAATTAGGTCAGTTTTGTCCCAGGATGCAACCCACACCAGTCAACTAACACCCAGGTACCCATTTTATACTGATGGGTGAACAGGGATAGCAGGTGTCATGGAAACACGTCCTAATGTTTTCCAGCTGTACCGGCGATTCAGACTCCAGACCTCAGTATGTGAGCTGAGTGTGATAGTGATCATCAGACAAGGGCCTTGGTAATACACTTACCATTCGACTCACAACATGCTCGACATACAACCACTCAACTTACGACCATCTTTTGTATGCCAAATTTCAGAGAAATAAACAACTGTTTGTGTTGTACACAGTGTTTATCCTAAACCTTACAATATGAAATACAGTACTAACAGCATAAAAACTACAGTAAAAAATGAAACACCTAAATAAAACAATAAAATAAAATCATTACAAAAATGTGATGTTGATATTCTATAGTAAGGTTCGACTTACGTCCATTTTGACTTACAACTGGTTGGTCGGAACCAAGCTCGGTCATAAGTCCGATGGTACCAGTATTATAATTCACAAAACCGTAATAATATGATTGCAAGCAAACCACAGTATTGGTGGGGTCAGAACTCATGGCAAGTGAGTTGTAAAACTCCAAGAACAATAAGAGACTTGGAGTATATGAGTGGTAAATAATACCAACAAGATGATCAATCAGACACACTGAATAAAGATACCCAGACGTTGCACACTTGTCTAATTCATCAATAACAGACTTGGATGAGGGAAAACAACCATAAGAAATATTGCAACATAGAGTATTGAAAGACGAGAGGGTAAAGAAATACTTGAAGGAGATGATTGTGGTAAAAAAAAAATCTATGAGACTAGAGAAACTCTCACCTTGACAGTGAGCAAGGGGAACTGATGCTGTCAGGAAAACAAATCTAATAATCTACAACACTTCAAAGAAAACAGAAGAGATACCAGACACATTGGAATTAATCAACATAGTGTAGTATTAATGTTTAAAAATAAAAACAGGCAAAGTACACTGAAAAATGCAGAAGGTAATAGAAATCGGGTAGTAAACCATTAGGAAAGGCTATGGTTTACATTGAACCAACAGCATGGGATTAGAGAAGGAATGTCAAGCCTTATGAGCCTCATAGAACTTTACACCTGGGGAAAAGGTTGACAGCATATGCCTGGACTGTCAGAAGGCCTTTGATATGGTGTCCCACAAACAACTAATTTACAAACTTAAAGAATGTCCTTAGGAATTAAGAGAAGTACTCTTTTGGGTGACTATATGCAGTACCGAGAAACGTTAGGCAGGGCCAATGCTTCGCCTGAGAAGTAAAAATGTTGATGGTAGGAAAAGTAATACATGGAGATACCAAACGTTCACTACTTCCACATATACCACTCAAAATGCTGCCCAACAACTATGGGCTTTGCAATCTGTACACTAACTACAAACCCACTCATTGTGTGCTTTAAAAAATTACATGTATTATTATTATTATTATAATTATTATTATGATTATATTGTTATTGTTATTATTATGATGCAATACATATGAGGACAGCCTACCTGAAGAGCTCAAATCATACAAGGCAATGATTGCAGTTGATGCAAAGCTCACAAGGAAATTAGAAATGCTAGAGAAATACAAAAAACCTGCAGGATGACATGAACAAGCTGCAAGAATGATCCTGTAATTTCTTCAATAAAATACTGTATTATACAGAATTAATCCTTAAACTGTCCAAGCAGATCTACGTACACATGCATAGTGCTCCAAAAGTAGATCTACATTTTTTTTACATTTTTTTTTTTCAACCATTCGGCCGTCTCCCACCGAGGCAGGGTGACCCAAAAAGAAAGAAAATCCAAAAAAAGAAAATACTTTCATCATCATTCATCACTTTCATCTCACTCATACATAATCATTGTTTTTGCAGAGGTGCCCAGAATACAAAAGTTTAGAAGTATATACGTATAAAAATACACAATATATTCCTCCAAACTGCCAATATCTCAAACCCCTCCTTTAGAGTGCAGGCATTGTACTTCCCATTTCCAGGACTCAAGTCTGGTTATATAAAATAACCGGTTTCCCTGAATCCCTTCACTAAATATTACCCTGCTCACACTCCAACAGCTCGTCAAGTTCCAAATACCATTTGTCTCCATTCACTCCTATCTAACACGCTCACGCACGCTTGCTGGAAGTCCAAACCCCTAGCCCACAACACCTCCTTTACCCCCTCCCTCCAACCTTTTCGAGGACGACCTTTACCCCACCTTCCTTCCCCTACAGATTTATACGCTCTCCATGTCATTCTACTTTGATCCATTCTCTCTAAATGACCAAACCACCTCAACAAACCCTCTTCAGCCCTCTGACTAATACTTTTATTAACTCCACACCTTCTCCTAATTTCCACACTCCGAATTTTCTGCATAATATTTACGCCACACATTGCCCTTAGACAGGACATCTCCACTGCCTCCAACTGCCTCCTCGCTGCAGCATTTACAACCTAAGCTTCACACTCATATAAGAGTGTTGGTACTACTACTATACTTTCATACATTCCCTTCTTTGCCTCCATAGATAACATTTTTTGCCTCCACATATACCTCAATGCACCACTCACCTTTTTTCCTTCATCAATTCTGTGATTAACTTCATCCTTCATAAGTCCATCCGCTGACACGTCAACTCCCAAATACGTATCTGAAAACATTCACTTCTTCCGTACTCCTCCCCAATTTGATATCCAATTTTTCTTTATCTAAATCATTTGATACTCTCATCACCTTACTCTTTTCTATGTTCACTTTCAACTTTCTACCTTTACACACACTCCCAAATTCATCCACTAACCTTTGCAATTTTTCTTTAGAATCTCCCATAAGCACAGTATCATCAGCAAAAAGTAAGTGTGTCACTTCCCTTTTTGCATTTAATTCCCCATAATTTAATCCCACCCCTCTCCCAAACACCCTAGCATTTACTCCTTTTACAACCCCATCTATAAATATATTAAACAACCATGGTGACATTACACATCCCTGTCCAAGACCTACTTTTACCGGGAAATAGTCTCCCTTTCTTCTACACACCCTAACCCGAGCCTCACTATCCTCATAAAAATTCTTTACAGCATTTAGTAACTTACCACCTATTCCATATATGTACTTGCAACATCTGCCACATTGCTTCCCTATCCACTCTATCATATGCTTTTTCTAAATCCATAAATGCAATAAAAACTTCTCTACCTTTATCTAAATACTACTCACATATATGCTTCAATGTAAACACTTGATCTACACATCCCCTACCCACTCTAAAACCTCCTTGCTCATCCTCAATTCTACATTCTGTCTTACCTCTAATTCTTTCAATAATGACCCTACCGTACACTTTTCCTGATATACTCAGTAAACTTATTCCTCTATAATTTTTACAATCTCTTTTGTCCCCCTTCCCTTTATATAAAGGGACTATACATGCTCTCTGCCAATCCCTAGGTACCTTCCCCTCTTTTATACATTTATTAAACAAAAATACCAACCATTCTAACACTATGTCCCCCCCTGCTTTTAACATTTCTGTCATGATCCCGTCAGTTCCAGCTACTTTACCCCCTTTCATTCTATGTAATGCCTCATGTTCCTCCCCCACACTCACATCCTGCTCTTCTTTGCTCCTAAACGATGGTGTACCTCCCTGGCCAGTGCATGAAATTACTGCCTCCCTTTCTTTGTCAGACATTTAAAAGTTCCTCAAAATATTCTCGCCATCTACCCAAAACCTCCATCTCCCCATCTA